TCGCTTACGCATCTCATTGACAGATCTTTTGATCCAGAGCCAGGCTTGGCAACACGGTCATAAAAGTCGTCAAATGGTTCCAGCCATTGCGGAGAGCCTATTTTGGAAGTTTCAACGTTGCTATTTTCTGAGATTGAAAGAAGTAGCATCTGGTAACCATATTATTGGAGTACCGAAGCCACTCCCTCTTAAGTCAGTGGGTCTGGTGTCTTTGCAAGTCATATTGTGATAAAACAGTTGGATGATTTGAAATGAGCGTAGCTGATTGGCTGCAAGTCTTTGCTGTTGATGTCCCACATCTTCTGAGGACGAATGACAGGAGAAGGGGAGAAAAAAGTGTCCTAACAGTGATTGGTAGTTCAGGCCTCAGGTTTAAGCGGAAAGATGGTCGAGGTTGTCAACTTTAATCTCTAAATGTTCAAAGTGAGCACCATTTGAAGGTTACCAAATGCATTACTAGGTGCATAATCTCCTTTCTCTACCTTTTCAGAGTGGCATTCTCGTATGGATGGAGTTTACCTCTCAGTTTTATCGCAGCATTCCCCCTGCAGTGACGTGGATTCGTCACCTCACCGGCAGCATCACTCACTCACTATGTTTTCGGATCATCTTCTGTCTTCTCTACGTTCTGCTCAAGGTGCAGTTCTGTTGGTCATCTTAATATAGTTGGGGCAGCTTGCGCTTGCGACCCTGCTTTTGTGGTTCGCAACTGGTTATGATTTATTTACTCAGTCCCGCTCTCGTTAAAGGTATTTTTGACTGCATGCTGATTATGGAATAACTTGCACCCTTTCTAGTTAAGCCAAAGTAAAATAGTCCACTGTTTCGTGGAAAAGCTGGTACTCTCATTGATATCCTGTACAAAGTCTGCTTATTTCAGTACCTGACTAATTGATCCCACGTTATGCATGAAGCACTTAATTGAATTGGCGTTTCCTACATTCTGGTCTTATTATTTTTACACCCTTACACAAGAATAACTACTCCATAAGCCGCTGAATTTCCGACGTTGACGCAGTCAATTGTTGCATAGATGTGACAATTATTATTGCATGGATTGAGACAAGGGCACATACCATGACTGGCTTGACGCCAGTAATGCTGCTATCTAGAAATCCGGCATTCCTTCCCACAAGGCCTCTTCTGAGTTTGTCAAATCTGCCGAGTCTTGGAAAGGGCAATGCTTGCTGGTGTTCGAATCGTCTGAAATTGGTGCTGAGAGATGCATAGCTGTCTTTACGAAGTTTGTATCGTTAAGATAGGCTGCCGCTGAGCTGTTGAGGGTTCTGTCGATTCACTGTGCTTGCAGTCATTTGCTGATAGGTATTCTCGGGCGCGCACAAATTTTTCTTTCACTGCACTCAATTTTCTATCCGCGCATGTCTGGACACGTTAGCTGTTGGCAAGAGAACACATTAGATACCCACCAATGCATTTCCTGCCACTCCGTTCCACTTGCTAAATTCGGTGTGGAAAGGATTGTAGTTTCTCTAATAATGCGCTCAGGGTTGCGGACACGTTGCGGGACGAAGTTTCTCCAACCCTCGTTTAAATCATCATAAAACTGGAGATGGAATGACAGACAGAGTCGTCGATACGAACAGAACTAAAAAGTACCTCAAAGGGTGGCTAGTCTCAAATGGGAACTTGATGAAGTAGGATGGTCTGAGCTCCTACCTCCCTTTGGCAGCGAAGTCGTTATGAAATGCTATCTGCCCGCTTTCATAATCAAGCCTACGAAGAAGGACTTAAAGACCTACTGCTTCCCTTCCAGCTATACGAGCCTTCGTTTTTCTTTCTTTCGCTTTTACTCAATCGCAGAATTGTCTACTCCGGCAACAATTCCAACCTAGTTTCTTGAAACAAAATTACAGCCTTGCATAATAAGAAGACGGTAATTATAGTTGACTGCGATTTAAGATTTAAAATTTCGATTCAATGACTTGGTTACTTGGCTATTTTTTCAGCTTGTTGCTCTGGGAACTGTGGTTTCCTCTGTCTGGCCAATTTTCAAATCAAATATATTCGCGCTGGTACGTCAAACTCCGTTCAAAAGCAGTTGCTGCCGTTTCTGTTCATGGCCTAATTCAATTGTAGCCCTATCAAACCAACGTGGCGAGCTCGTCGGAGGATCAGGAGTTGTGCAGCCTGTGCTTCGAGCAGCGGAGCAGAAATGTTGCTATTTTGGGATGCAATGTGAGTTATTGGTACTTTGTAGAGCGGTAAAGGCAGATGATGCAACTAGGCAACGGCTCAAAGGCTTACGAAATGTGTCCCAGGAGTAGCGTTCCTTTAAACAGCAAATAAAGGTTGAGGATCTTTGCTTTCAATCAGCTGAAAATTACTTGAATTGAACGAACTCTGCAGTGCATATTCATCCTGAATGCCAAAATTTTTTACATCCACTCTGGAAGGCCACGTAGATGAAGGCAGGCATTCAACCAATTTAAGTCGCAATTGAATTACAATGCTGAAACGAACTTCTCTTAGGTCAATGTGGCTAATAAAAGGAAACGCCGATATGGCGTTGAGCTGTTGTTGTGTTGCTATTCATGTAAACAGTTGTCGTCGTTGAGTTAGTTGTAGCACCAGAAGAATGCTCTTACCGTTGCTACTAGGCCTAACCATTACTTGACTTGGTCTCGGGTCTTGTGTACACATCGTATCAACTCTACTAGCAGTGAATAGTTGATTAGTTCCGGGTGCACGTAGTGTATTTGGTTTTCACATACTTCTTCCTCTGAGAACAGCTATTCTTCTCAGACTTTGAGTAGAGTAATTTTAAGAGGAAGCCTCTTTTTGTGTTTTGTGATAGCCATTTCGCCTTTGAGACGGCGTTGTTGCTATCGCTGCGTAGGAGAGGAAATGTGACCATCACCAATCCGTCGGTGGTGAAGACATCTGTCAAAGTAGCGAGTCATATGGCAGTTTCTACTTGGCGAATCTGTCACTTCGAACAGTAACAGCCGTAGGTTAGCTAAGTTGCACACATCGTATCATTTAACGCGGCACCAAGAGGAGGAGTTCTGTAAGGTTGGAGGGCAATAAGTCTATCTCTTTCACATTTGTTTTTTAAATCCTAACTAGATTGAGACTCATTCCATCCACACAATTCATTCATTAAAGGGTGGGTTTAATGGGGTTTGCAACTAAAAATGGCTTTGTGTCACGCAAGGAAAGGGTTTAATGCTTCTAGTTTTAGAAAATTTCAATTTTTTCCTAGTTCCTCAAAGCCGATTTATTCAATAAAGCAAAAGAAGGCTTGAGAAAGAATACATTCTGGCTCGATGGTCTTTCTAGTCGTTGATTTACAATGTGTTTTGCACCTCTCATGTATCGCTTTTGCACAATCCACTAGATAGTCGAATTTCGCATCACTTGCGAATCAGACGTGGCGACCTCAAAAGGAAAAAAATGCACGGCTTCGAGGGTCAGACGCTTCAGTGATTAGATGACATTCAAACAGCCCCGGGGCAGTAATTAAGCCAAATAACCGACCCTTCGCTGCAAGAAGTCATCAATAGTAATTTAACTGGTGGAATGAAATGGAGCTTAACGTGGTAGAATTCGAAGGAAATGGGTTGCTTTTTATGCATGGTTCTACTTCCGGCTTGTATTTTCTGCCAAGAAATGGAGGCCTCCTTAAAGAAGTGCATAAATGCGTGTTAAGAATTGTAGGACGGATCAGACTTTAATTATTCTTTCGATTTCACGAAGCAGTTTGCTCCTATGCGGTTGGATCTCAACCGTGGTGGATCACGACCCTGCCACTGCCACCACTTGAGCCGATGGCCTCTTAACCTTAAACTCATGCTTAACACGGAAACACGACGCATCGATGTCAGAGCATGAAAAACTGCTAAACTCCGTTGCTTGTCATGCATAATTAAAGCGAATTGTGCTAACCACAACGCAAGTGCTACTCGTTTTTGCTTTATGTGCATACATGCTCCAATTGGACCATACCTTACGCGTCCCTACGAGAAGATCTTGGCAGTGTCAAGTTCTTCAGGCGGGTTTTAAGCCAAAGGATCTGCTTCAACCCCCTTTATATGTCACTCTTATGTCATTTCCCCTCGACCCTCACATCTGCCACTAGTTGGAAGGAGCAATTCGAAGAAAACGTGGCATGTCGCGATCTAATGCCTCATTAAATGCGTCTTGATGGATAGTCTGCATAATGAAACCGCAGCTCTGTTAAAGTGTGCTCAAGGGGTGACGCGAACAGTGGAATGGAAGGGTGTTTAAGGAGGCACAGTAGCACACCTGCGCATTTTTAGCAGTACAGGCACACGCACACCAACACGACAACGATTGGCGGTGTGGCGACACGAATTGTGGTGACATTTTAGTGATGAAATGGTGAGCGATAGCTGACACTACAACTTAATTTAGCTAGAGGATATGAAATGCATGGTTTGAAATTCGGCTTCGGAGATGACGTATTTGTTGTGTTGAAAGCGATAAGATTGCTCAAACGAACTTAGGGGTAGAGCTTGGCGATTAGCCCCAATGCTAGATTGCTTCCAAAGCAATGTATAGCCTGCAATTGGAGCAATGTTACTCAAGGCTGTTTTCCTCATTGGGAATAGATTTCATCAGCTGGCTCCAGTCACTAACTGCACTTCTTCAACGTCATCTGTTGGCAGCTTTGTATAGCTTGTCTCCATAGTTTGGGGAAGGCTGATCTGGTTAATATTGTAAAAGGCAACCGGTTGTCAAGGTTGATTGATTACTTTTGACTTCTCCAGTAGTAATGAAACAGTAAGTGCAGAATTCTAGACTTCCTTGCTGTCATTTCGAGAATCTCAAATTAGACGCGTGTCTTCATTTCACCTCGAATGCTTTCAGCCCAGCACCGTTCATTAACCACATCTCACCAATAGGGATATCTGCAAGCAATGAGGTCAAACTCTGCCCCCCTTTCTCTACTGACGCTGTTTAATGCAACAGCAGCACTGAGCGTTTAAAGAGGCATCACCTGCCCTTCTTTGTAAGCAGTTGATTGCATACAATTTCGGCATTCACTATTTACTCATTATGTTGTTGTGGTGATGAGAACCTATCATTGAGGATTAGTATTTTCATCGGTTAACAGTAGTTAAAAGCTGCTGTCTCTTTTCTGACACTCGATCTTCTGATCAACTCAGTATTTTCCAGCTTATTTACCCAAAGTATGAATCAGATCGAATTTCGCTTTTGTACTTGTAAAATTCAAAGAAGACTCGGTCAATATTTTTTTTGTAACTACTTGAAACAAAACATCATTTCTCATGTTATCACTTCAAAAGGTCCGAGCCTTGCATCAGTGATTAGAGAAAGGGGTGATTTGTGAGAGGCCCCACTTTTTGTGCTCTTTTATATCAATTGCAACTAATTGATTGAATGTTTGGCATGGGATGAAATTTGGCACTGCAGTGGCAATAAATTGCAATTTGAATACGAATTTGCTTCTCTTTATCCGTTTTCCGGTCCATTTTGCTTGAAATATACGATGATACAAACCATTGTACTGTTACATCGGCTCGTTAAGCGTGCTTTCAACGCATACACTAACGCAATGTAATGCAGTGAAATGTGATCGCCTGTTTTTCAAAGAGCAATCCTACCTCCGAAGCTGCATTATATGCTGCTGTCTGCATGCATTGTGCTGCTGGCCCTAGAAAGGGATGTGAGGTAGCACCACCATCCATCGCCAATGTAAGCACTGTTGTCGGGTCGCATATAGCGCCCATCAATGCATCGTGTACTACATCTCCATTGGATATTCTGTTTTCTGTTGCTGTTTACTAGGCTGGGATTTAACTTGTCGTCCAAAACATTCCCAAAGTATTCCAAAGTAATACGGACATAATGAATGATGATGTCTCCAAAGTGAGGCAACGATGTTTATAAACAATTTAAAATAGTGACTACTTTTCTTCCTCTAACAGCACAGTTTCTGTCGAGACTGCATGGATCGGTGGCTGATTCACTTCAACGAGTGTCCTCTGTGCTCGCATTACCTAGGAGGGGATCTAAGATCCTGGCGCGATGGTTCAACCTCTCCCCTTGTCTACTTCTTCTAGCTACTTTCCATTCTTTCCTCCTCCTTCCAGTCCCCTCGTCGCTCAAATTTCAACTCCTCCCTCCTCCACTTTTCACTCTTATATTGGTGCTTAGTAATTCTACGAAAAGAAGATTCTGACGTCTTTGGCCTACAATATTTGCTTTGATTGAGTATTGGCCTCCCTACTAGGGTTCAGAGATAAGAAGCAAAAAATGAAGACAACGCCATCACCTAATGGTTGCGTTTCGTAGAATTTTTCTGAGATGTATAGCCACTTTTATACCTACTAAAAGATTGCGCTGCTGGATGTTAGTAGCTATTTTTTTCGCTTTTTAGAACAGTTTATGAATGTAGTAAAAATCATTTCTTCCTGCATTAGTGTACTCAAAGTCCACGTTTCTGAAGTGCATCCACTTCTGCAGTGTTATTGTTTGTCGGAGAATTTTACTCGCCGTTTCTCAGCCATGGTAGTCACTTACTAGGATCGAATGAGCCTTTAAAATTACTCCATTTTTGGTGATGCAGTGTGGCTAATTATCAAACTTTGCTCCTTACTTTAGCGGATCCAGTTTAATGCAGGAGTCTGATTGAATTGGTTGCGTTACAGTGCTGGTCACCGTTGGCCCAGCAGTCAGAGCATTCCAACGCACAGCGGGAGTTTCGGAGCGCATTCATTGGAATGCTGATAATGAACTAAGACAGTCCATGTGTGGGCACATCAAACTAGTTGCTGCTCTCTACCTTGGAGAGGCATCGTAGCATACATTTGCTGCCATTCTCAGTAGTACTAGAGCAAAACCAGCTGGTTAAAAATAGCATCTAGCTCCATCGCTATTCTAATTGAAATGACCATTTGTTGAGCTGAACAAAGGTACCCTGAAGGATAGTTAATCCCCGTTCTAAAAGTCTTCTCATTTTGTATCACATTAAGGTTACTTTTCACTTAATCGAACCTACTGGATGCACCATGGCCTTCTCCGGTGCCTTGGTTGGGTTGGGAATGCTCCGCTACTGATTTTCAGTTTTAATCTACTTCAATAACACTAAATGCAAGTCAATTGGTTGTAGGCACTGTGCTAATTGGAACACCTAAGCACAGAGAAGTGCACGAATTTTTACGACTCCTAACATAGCGGCAACTGCCGAAATTCAAAGCAAACCGAATAATGCAAATGTAGTGATCCAAAGAGGAATGTTCTTGCTGCAAGGCATATGAGTTGACTGCAGAGGCGATACTATGCTGTTCGGATGTTGGAAAACCTGCTTTTACTGTCGGATAGACTCATTTCGGAGTCCCAATCAGTGAAAAATGTGATGTGAGGACAACAACACTACTTTTGGTTCACAGCCATTGAACAAATGGTTAAGCTTTTGTAACTCTGCGGACATATGCCTAGCCCACGCCGGAGGTTGTGGCGGCGAAAAATCTGTCCAGCAGAGAAAGGCAGCATGCGGTAGCAGTGGTCACCTCCATTGCAGCGTCAGTACCACACCAATGTGATAAAAGATATTTGCATTAATAGGAAAAAAAGTAAAGCAATCTGAGATTCTCGAGTCACATGTTTGGATGTTCTCCAAATTTAGCCATATAGAAAACCGCCATCGATCTATTTCCAATTATGGCATTTTCAGAGACGTATTTCCTGTTGAATGCTCAAATATAGACTAACCAAACGACTAATATTAATTTCTGCACAACCATTTTCCTCATAATTCTGCTCGGCTTATGGTAAAAAATGCAAAAAACTATGGGCTTTCTGTGTCGAGGAAAAGAAAAGTGACGCAGAACGAAAGAATGGGAAGTTATGGACATGGAGGAGACAAAATATGATAGTCGAAAAGAGTTGAAAGGCAAAACTACATAATTTTACACCACCAGGTAGGAACTTGGTTTACTGAAGAGAGAATGAATTACTGTTGAAAATTGTCATAAGCTGTGTGGGTGAAAGGACGGAATTCCAGCAATTAGGCAGAATTAGAGAGAAATTAGCTGTTTCACGCCAACTGCCTCATTCAGAGTCTTCAGGAAAGCAGCATAACAGACCATTTCTTCATTCCAATCACCGTGAGTGGAAAGTTGCACAGCTCACTTCTGTTTTCTAATAAAACCCATATGCAAATGTGGGTAGGCGTTTGAGTATCAAAGTCGAGATCACTCACAGTAAATGAATAGGTCCAAAGGTCGAGAGCGAAATTGCTTTAACTATGAGTGATCTCTCTATCTCCCTAGCATAGAGACTTTAGTGAAACCTGCACTACCAAGAGTAATTTAATAGCAGGAGGAAGGGGAGTAAAAGCGGATGTCTCTTGCCCATTTTGATGCATTTGGCATTCGCGCTTTGAGTCCATAAACTGGAGACATTTAGCGATGCCCCACGTACAGAATAGGTGGCCCTAATTACCATGTCAACTACCAGTTGTGCACACCAAAGCTCTCTGAACCTTTCTGTTGTGCGATAATGCACAAATCATCTCCTAGACTAACAAGATGTCTTAAAATGCCTGGATTCAGTGTTTTGTGCTGTCTTCAAGTTCAAAAGAGAACTCTTAATCACATCAGATAATGGGGTCCTGTGAAATGGAAAAGCAGAAGCCCAACCCACAGTTACAATTTTCTTCTGTAGCTAAAACGCGTATAGCCATCGGATATTGATGGTTAACAGAGCACCTGCACACATCAAGACGTTAGGTGGTTGGGAGTGGCAGTCGTGGTTCGCCTTCAGTCACACTTTAGCACCAATTTTGTCAGATTAACATTGAGTTGGATGTGGAAGGAACCCAAAATTTGAAGAGTGGAACGCACAGGACTAGGTTTTGGCAAGCAGAACAACGAACTGATAAGTGAATGCGAGTGGTCAAAGTGAAGAGTACGCCTAGAAAGCAAGAGGTTGTCTTGAAAAAAACAGTTGTGGCGCAAGTTGAAGAGCATTAACAAACAACCAAAAGCGTCTTTTACCGTTGCATCTGCCGTGCCGAAGTTCATGAACTTTAAAGAAGGACAGAGACGCTGATGCGTTTCTCCTATTCACCTTATCCGAGTTTCTGCAATTACCTACTACAAACACCAGTAAGCTCAGGTCGTCATACATGCCTACGTCAAAAAAATCACGAATCAAACGCGGAACCGGATTTCGAATTATGATTACACTCAGAAATACTTCCGTCAATAGGGCAAAAGGATTGGCACTCTTCGTATGGAATGGATTCCGAATCGCCGGAGTTGAGTTTGCCCAATTCCAGCGAAACGGTACTCACATGAACAGCGACAAGGATCACCAATACTCGTGGAATTGCGCTATGGGAGAGGACACGAACGTTCTTCAGGCACTCGAGTACAGAAAGAAGGGATCTTTCGTGTTGGCCCTGTGAAGACACAGGGCAACTGATAGGCTATATTTCAGGAATGCTCTCACTCCCACGCATTCTTATGCTCTGGGAGGCTTTTGCCCCTGACCTGACTAGTGGGACATGAATTTTCTCTTCGTGAAATTGTCCAACGACTGAGCGCCGAAGTGAAGAAAGCTAGAACCCCAAATTTAGACCAGAAATGTGAACATTTATTCCAGGATTGTAGAATTCACTAAAAAAAGTTATAAGCAAATGGTAGGAGAGTTAAGGCTTTAGTTACGCATAAGTTATGTAGGGTAGTACCAACTTTCCCACAATTTGCTAAACCACACTAATAACGCCCAATGAGAGGGAATTTGCCATTCATTAGTGGGTTCGATCCAACAGAAACAAAGTCATGAAAAAAGCGGAAAGAAGCTCACTTTTTGGTTAAATCATGGTCGTTTGAGGGAAAACCAAGAAAGAGAGGCACAGTCTTGATCAAACGCATAGAGGCAAGCGGTTCAGAGAAGGCATTGATGAAATACGTCACGTCCTCTCAATAGGAAGTTGCAGACTATTAGGACCTACAAGAGGCGTAAAAGCATGAAGCAGAGCAATAAGAAAGCCAATCCAATGACAAGGTGTCCAATGAAAAGAGCTCTTCTACTTCTTACCTTACCAGAGAAGAGAGCAAAGAGTAACTTGACAGCACCATCAACCACAATTTAGGCAAAAATGTTCTTAAACCAATTTGAAACAGGAGCAAAAAAACGTTGGATTCAGCGTTTAGCATTTCGTTTTTGGTAGCAGATTCTCAAAAGTGCGAAGGAGAGGTGGGGAACTAGTTTCGTAAGGACGTATTAAAGTACAAATATATATACTTATTCAAACATATTATAAATTTATTCCTAAGAATCAAATTGCGCACTGTTGTTACTGCTCTGGAACTGTAGAAGGCTGTCCGGAAGACATATAGGCACCCATTGTACCCCCAATGTGCCCACACTATTGTCACCACGAGCCGCGTCTTGGTTCTTCTTGGTGCGAGCTCGGAAATGATCGCAGTCGCATTTGTGCAAAGCGGTTCAAAAAATAAGCACAAGTGATTCATTAAATATCCGATCCATACGTCTGCAGTGCCTCGCAAATTTGTAGTGGAGGTGCAATCACTTCCTAAAGTCGCTAATGGTCGCTGCGCTCAACACTACATAGGTTTCAAGCGCATGAGAATTTAAAATTGGACTGAAAATGACACCGTGGGAGACTTACAATATGAATGCATAGGTCGGGAGGATCAAAAGAAAACACCGTAGACTTGGTTCATTAAGCAGCGGTATTGATCAAAGGAAGAAACTAACATGCGCTACAACAGTGCTGATACAATAACCAAGACTGCAAAAGGGCTGGAGAAGTCGCTCAACAACATCCAAACGCCTCCTTTGGTATGAATATTTTGTAGAATTTATTTCTGCTAATAAATTCACTTTAGCCTGGAGATGAGAACGATTATATTTCAAGGGAAGTTATTTTCACAACTCTAGTTAGGCTTCCATAGCACTTCTTAGACAGCTTTTCATGCGGTGACCCGCTATGAAAGCATAGGCAATACATCTTTCTCATTGTTTCAACTATGGTCCCACTGAACCAGCCTCAAGTACAACAGCATGACACTGCAAAACCCACCCCATGAGGCCACCGACCTCACACTGAGAAATCCTGCTGTTCTAATTTTCAGCCTGCATACAGAAGTATTTACGCATGTCGAAATCAAACCCTCAGTGGTTTAGCTGTTTCGAGTGCATAAAACGACGCATGTAAACGCTTCTACGCAGGTCTTATAAATTCATCTTCACGTCATTAAAATGGGAATCAGGCCATACCAGTGCCTCCCCTACCTCTAGTGGTAAAATCATGTGCAGAAGAAGAGAAAACGGCACTATTCTGAGTAAACAACCGGATTTCCACATAGTATATGGCAGCTTAACAGAAAAAAACCACTGAACCTGAGCTGCGATGCTTAAAAAAGCCCCCAGGGCTCTACTAGACCACTACAACTTACTTCAAGGGGTTGAGCAGCGTTACGAGTGACTGCAGAGACGATTTCTCGTGCCAGTGTCCATGTGATGGTGCCGTAAGTTATAAGAATGATCAGAGAAGCATGGTAAGGGAGTGGAGCCCGGCGACCCCCCATCACTCCGCTCATTGCTATGAGTTTGCTGGAAGCGAAGAGAAAAGGCCTACTGATTAGTTGTTGGTAGATAGTGGCGACATTGAAGAATGAAAAAAAGAAGAATGAATTGAAGCTCCCCTTCCTTATCAGAGTGCAAGATACTTCTAGGTCACCACTAGGCACATCTTCCCCTTCTTTAAGGTCTAGGTCCTCTGATATCCCACATTTTATTAGAATCCTCACGAACTTTTGTAATCCGCACCACTACGCTACACTTTGGTTAATAGACTTTTTCGGGAAAGGAAATGAAGCTATTTGTTGAACTCAAAGTCTCCCTTGAATTGTTCGCAACTAAAAAAACCTTATTCACATACCGAAAATCGACACGAAACTGAAACACTTTTAAGAGAAAAACAAATTACGATAGAAGGTAAACAACCGAACATCTTGCGGTTTTCGCTAACAAAACTCCAATTGACAGATGACGATAAGGTCTAAACGTCAGTAAAAACTCGCCAACAAGGCCTTTGCCACATTAGCGTATGCGTTAAAGAAGCTGTTGGACTAAGTAAGAAGAAGAAGATAGAACTGTTTGGCATAAAGACGATCCAATGAATTATAAAGTTCCTCCAAAAAATACCTTTCTTAAAAGCAGCAAGAACGATAAACTAAATGAGGTTAATTTCGGCTTCAGCATATGGTCAAAACCGCAAACTACTTTCAAAGACTGATGAGAAAATAAGTAAGCTTGCTCAAGTTCAGTGATTGTGCAAGACTCGAACTCATTTCTAAGGGGGAAATAGGGTGAGGAAGAAGCCAACCTAACATTGGAGAGCAGAGTTGGGTCGCTGTTATCGGAGGTAGTGGAGCCACGGACTGAGACGGTGGATCGGTATTGCAACGATTGCAGCGCAGATGAGGCGGTGGAAGGTTGGTGATGCGCTGCTACGAGGTCTTTGAACATTTGAACCACCGGCGAGACCAGTTGAGGGAAACCAATGTAGCGTACGCTCTCCCTTCAGGAAGCATAAGGGGGAATGCATTACAAGGTGGCAGATGAAGAGTTACAATTTCAACGACCAGATAAGCCACATTTCTTAACATTGTCAAAAGCTAGAAACAGAGGCTTCCGTGCTTTGCAGAGATGACGTCAACGCTAGTACTTGTGAGAATCAAAACACAGCGTTGGCATCCTTCTGACCATGGACCTAATTTGTGAGTTCCACCAAAACATCAACGTCTGATGCAACAACCGGAATATAGTCGAACTGAAGTGATGATTGAGTGGAGTTGTGAGGGCACCTTACGTATATCGTTAGATAGAAGATTGAATCGCACAACATTTGCGCTGGAGCTATGACTAAGGCTTGAAACTCTGAAGATCTAGAGTCTCGCTGTTACCAGAACTTTACCCTACAGTGGTGTATCTCTTGAAAGCAAAGGGGGCACCTAAGAAAGATGCAGAGACGTCATAACTTTTCCCTAATCTTAGCAATTACTTTCCGAAAGGACATTAGGTTCGCCAATACTAGAAACGACACTATAAGAGGCCCTAATTTTGGCTTAAGCCTGTAAAAATTTGTAAATCATGTAAAGAACAACACTAACCCCCAACGTCCCCGAGAATGGAGGGAGAATTGCACCAAGTACATTGCGAAGGCAAACCAGGTACGCTTGTGTCAGCTTATGGCACCTTTTTACTTCAGATAGTTCACTCCGTTCCAGCAAAGTAATTAAATCCAAGATAGGGCTTCGAATATACGTCAAACAGCCTTACAATTGGCTTCGAGCAGCGCACCCACAGAGTTTGGTTGGAGATAAAAATTTGTGAGAAAAGGGCTGCCAACAACGCCAAGGCTTTGGATTTGGAAATTTTAGCTCTAAATCAAGTAGCGTTACGAATTTGGAGAGAGCAACTCTGTACCGTTGAAATGACTAAAGCCTGCCTACACACCCATACACGCCCACAAAGCCAACACTGGCCTCCCATATAATGAAACGCAGTAGACTCTAGTTCTCGAGAAGGTGTCAAAAAGGGCTTTCAGCAGCACTCCTATTCACTAGTGCAATGAGGGAGACCTCCAAAGGAGAGAATCAAGTAAAACGTGAAAACATCCAAAACCAATTGATCAAAGAGAGGGATAATTGGAAGAGATGTGGAAAATGGCTTCTTTGATAGCGACGTTTCTGTTTCAAGGGTAGGGTTTTTCGAAGCCTTGCATAAAAAGTACCAAGTTGGGCAGAGAAACAAGAAGACACTTGTGTACATAACCTGCAAAATACAAGCTTAAAAGAAGCTGCCAAAATTTAGGATTAACCAGCCAAACTATTTATGCCATTTAGGAACGCTTTTCAGAACAGCTACTATTCATTAGATTACTTTATGAATCGTACAACAAATCTCATGCAAATAAGATACCAGAATTTACCATAGTACTAGAAGAAATTCTTTAAAAAAATCCCATCACATCCGAAGCACTGAAAACAACTCATTAGGTGCCACAATAGGGGACTTACATGACCGTCACTAGAAGACAGAGTCCGCCATAAACAAATCACTGTGTTTTATAAGAGTTGAGTCCCATAGAAGTCAAACTTAAAGGGTGAAAAACATTTGAAACTCGATGTCACGAAGAAGGGGGATAAAATTTAAGTAAAATGAGAACGTGATTGGTTAGTGAGTACAATGTATTCGTTATTTATTTAATTTCTGTGCGATACCAATATTGCGCTTTCAGCAGGTGGTAGACTGAACTCCACCAAACCTTTCATGAGTCAACAAACATACCTTGCCCCAAGCCGTTTTCTTCGGTTCTCTGAAGAGTCTCAGAACACTGCTTTGGTGGGAGGAGGAGATAATCCAATGTAGCAGAGCATTTGTTAGAATTTCAACTGCTTCGAATGAGAGAACTTGAAGTCCCCTTAAAGAGGAGATGCAAGTAACGTCCAACTTCTTCAGCTACCTCAGCCTCGTAATAAGATAAGTGACGCTGCACGCCAAACACCCGCAGAAGCTGCTTATGCAAACCCGCGATATATCCAAAGCTTCTTTATTAGCTGGACAGACTTCAGAAAGATATGGCTAGATAACACCAAAGCGGCAAAAAACAGACACACTTTCGGTGTTGCACGATCATGTTTTCAGACTAATGCTTCTATAAGTGATGAACAATCATAATGGCCAGCATATTCCAACACAGTTCCCATTGAGGACGAACCTCCAAATGTTGTAGAATTGTCAGAAGAGATTGGTAAAGTTGCAGTCAAGTATCTCTTGAATTGCTCGGAAAATTAGTGAAAGGCAGTGTAGGTTTTTAGTGGCCCATTGAATGGGTTAACCGAGGCGAGTACCAACGATGACGCTTGGAGGAGAGAGGTGCGCACCACTCCATTTATGTAGCTATCTATTTCAATGGAGAAGCCGCTTAGATGCACCGCCCGACGGTCCGATCTCGGACCATGCCAGCACCTTCAAGCCATATTCTATATCAAATACGTGATATGTTCGAGTGCTATTTCTACTGCCACCTCTATGAAAATCCAACCGCAATACTGAGGGTCGGTTACTAAGGGAACACCAAGGTAATAGAGTGAATTCCAGCAAATTTAAATAGTTCATCGAGAAAGGAGCGACGGTACACAGTTACAATTCTGAAAACTTTGACATTGCATACTCTCTTAAATGCGCTAAGGGAAAATGTCGCTTATAACTCTGCTCGATTTCCGACATTACTCGCATTCGTAAGTGATTGAGGGATTTTTAACCATGCGCCAAAAATAGCTCAATCGATTTCGAATCTAAACAAAGCCATTTCAAGTAAAAAATGCATTTTTAATGTCCAACGTAGGGAAAGCTGCAGGAGAAAATGTAATTTAATCAAAATATTTTAACAGGCAAATTGGGGTCGACTAGAAATGCACCCAATCCCATCAAAGAGGAAAATGTGCACACTACCTCGGTGTTCGGTGCAATGATTGCATGAATATTTTGGTCCGGCAGCGTTATCAGCGAGGATAACATGTAGCTATCGAACGAGGGTTGTGCTGGATGACCGGCCCATCCTCACTGCCAGCTGTAAGCTGTCAGCAAACTGCAAACAGTTAACGCCTGATTATATTTCAACACATTGACGAAAAAATTATTTTAACTTGCTCAAAAATAAAAGTATGTTGAGAGAATCCATTGCCAAAGCTGAAAGTGTACATAAAGCTAAACCCGAAACAAGGCACTACTTTGAGGAATTCTTGAAAAAAGCTCCTTACTTGACGTCCAAATCTCTGAAACGATCCACGACCATAATGTATGAGTAAGGTGCACAAATTCAGAGCACAATCCATGACAATATCCAACGCCTTTATTCGAAAAGGATTGAAGAGTTGGATCTTACCGATAGGCGGGCAGAAGGTGACGTCGGTAGGCTACAGCCAAAAGGCACCGTCCCATTGATTCAGGATTGTGCTTTTTCAGAAACCTCGCTAAAGTAGATGAAGGCAAAGATTAATATTTTCCTTATCTTCACAAAACGTATTATAAGGAAAACTCACCCAGAGCAGAATCCTTGAAGGAAGCAGTGGAGGTAGTGGCTTGAAAGATACCCTAGGAAAGGAAAGCAAGTGAAAAGAAGAATGTGAAAAACCAGTGGAGAGAGTACTTTGTAGACGAGACGCACATCAATAGTGTCGATGAGAGGAGAGTTGGCTCTGGAGTTTGGATTGCATCCACGCGAAGGCAGTAGCCAGATAAACCGGATTAGTATAAGCAACATTTCATCCGGGTTAGCCAGTTGACTAGTTGAAGGATGAGAGAGAGATGATGGAAGAGGTGAATCAACATAAGTTGCATACTCAATCGTTTACGAGGGAAAGATTTTAAAATCAGAGTAACCTAGCACAACATCCTAAATACTTAAGAACGTAGTATGAAGGATTGCACATAGTTTATCGGAGCTTATTGAGAAGCCTACCATCACACAAAATTAGGATGTTTCACGTACTCTTTGAAGAGTTAGGCCTTACAATGAAGGAGGATCAAAAAGTGTTTGGAGAAATGCACTACTTATGTGATTTACATGGATCATCATGACAGGCTACTTCCCTCGAAATTGGTGTAGCACAGAAAGGGATATCAGCGCAGGCAAAGTGCCTGATCAGAGGAAAACCGTCCCGAACGCAAGTTATGGATGCCTTAGAGGGTGCTAAGCACAAGAATAAATACTCAAATCAAGAAAACATGCAAACCTAAGCGTAAAATGACCAAATTAGCTCCTGCAGTCTTCGTGATAAAGGCAGCACGAAAGAGCTCCTTTGAAAAGTTGGATCCTCGCTGCTACAATTAGGCAACACCTTCCAGCGCAATCCAAACTTGTCGACTCCTTATTTACAAAAATTTAGGGAGTTGTTAAGAAATTCAACCACCAGCCGCTTTCATCTGCTGATCGACTTATTCAATTGTTAATTAGCAATACTCGTTAGAGCACTCCAAGGATAAGCTGGAACACAAATCTTTCCGCATCCTCCCAACCCAAATCGCAGATTCTCTTACGAATTCTTGCCTTCAGCTGACTATCCTTGTCAGTTTTTCAGGTGTTTTGATGGAAGAGTCCCTGGTGTGATTGTAGCTGTCTTCAGGAGGTTAACAAGTAATAGTCAACAATTTCATCGGCAGTCGGCATGTACAGTCTGGCGAGTACGCTGTGAAGCGAATGGATCGCTGGATATAGCCAACGCCATGGTGTGATGCGATGAGTGTTTGCCTAATTAATGCTCCGGTACACTTAAACTTGCACAGCAAGGCAATTAGCGAAAAACTTTCCGACGTTACATTTCAACGGTATATCGTAGGCGTGCGGGTCAAGTTGATATTTCATTTAACTTTTCACGTCCAATACTGGTGCACGACAACCGGGTGGTGCCCTTTCAATGAAACGACACAAAATCCCTCCCTTAACAGTTGATGCTGTATAAGTCGCTGACGAAAGTGAATAGAAGCAAATACCAAATACCGATTTAGCCACGGCACTTCATGATGCCTTCGAATATTAAAAAAAGTGGTACAAAGACTGCTCATACCTTAAAAAAGTATTAGCAAGCGTATTCTGCAGATCACCACAGGCTATGCTAAACCATTAAAGTTTTCCTTTCTGAAGGACACATTAACTCGTTGGCTAGCCCACTCTAGTGATTGAAAAACGAATGAAAGCCCACTTAGCGCCTTAAACTTCCCGATTGGATTTCCTCTTTCCATGGTAAAAACAAACACTCCGTGCTGAAACTATTTTCTACATGTTTGATAAAAAGCGATTGCGTGGCAAAGATTAAGCACACAAAGCAACCACAAGCAATTTTAGTCGTCGAAATTGCAAGGCAAGTGACCTCAGCTTTCCAGACATAAGTTCTTTGGAAATGAATGACAGCCTCCCAATAAGAACTTTGAGCAGATGAAAAATTGGCTTGCTTCTCAAAAGAGGATCTACAAAAATGCGGAGGCCGCTCTAGCGAGTAACAAATGAGTGCTACCAGAAAGTGGGAATAAATTTGAGGACTGCGAAATCATTTTCAAATATAGTGCCAAATTATGGTTGCTATAGGAAAAGAAACTCATGTTACGAGTAAAAAAAGCCCGACAACCAGGTGTTCCTTCACAAACGGATCAGCACTAAACATAGCGAAAAAAAGACAGTGATAGAGACAAAGGCCTAGGAGGAGGAAATTTTAGAATTGTATCCGCGATGTCTAAGCAAAGAGGAAGAGCTGGAGATGCGAAGAACATAAACGAATGCGGAATAAAAATCCAAACATGGCGTGAGGAGGAAATCACATTCAAGAATAGTGACGGAAGCAGAGGCAACACAAAAAATGCCTCTAACGATGCTAACAAGTTGGTATAGGGCAAAAATTGCAACTTGAGAAAGATAAGTTGAGATCGATCAAAAATCACAATTCCTTTTAAACGACAAAATGAAAGGTGTGAGCTGCTTACGAGGCGTCATGGAGAGCTTTGAGGAGGATGGGACGGCAATGCTGCAAACCATCGTCATCTGTGAGGAAGGAGGCATCCGAAGCAGCGTCCTCCGAGTGCGCCAGCATCAGCGCGTTTTCATAGCGTCGCAGTAGACCCTCCACGCCAGCGTTGGTGACAGATGAACCTGCTTTCAACGCTTCAGAAGCTGCTGCTGCCTTTGCCTCCGCTGCCGCTACGCCCAACTCCACCACCGGGAGGTAGTCGTAGCGTTTGCGTTGGCACAGGGTACTAGAATAAAGGTGGGTCACGTAGGAGATTAGTTTACCAAGGCCTAAATGCTTTATGGATCCGAGTATTATGATTTATTTAGTTAATGGTGGATAGTACGGAAACGCTATTATTTGATGGGATTAAAATAAAATAAGTCCACAGCCTCAAGACAAAGGGAATACTTCATTCAGAATACGAGTGATCAAGATAGCATCTAGCAGAAGTATAAACACAAGACAGTTTCAATTCTATTTTAAGCCGACAAATGGTTTTGAACGAACGAATGCGAAAAAGTTTAAGCCCTCTACTAACTTAAAAACAGCTCTGGGAATAGCTTGAAAGGGTTCTCCACTCTTTATCAGCTTGTCCACGTCAGGTGCGTTCAGGTTCAGCGCGACGTCAATGAGAGCCATTTGGATCAACTTAACCTCTTCCTAAAACAGACAACAAGAACACATAGAACGGAAAAAGTGTGAAAGGAAGAGTACTTCTACCTACAGCCCGCTTTTGGCACAAAAATAGGTCTTCAAGCAACTGTCGCCCGGCTTCCGAGGTGCTCGTGGCCAGAACCATTTGAAGGCTTGGGAAATCCCTGTTTTTACTAAGGAAGCAAAAAATGGAGATAAGGATGAAGGGAAAAGAGGTGCGTACCTAAGTCGACGCCAGTCCACAAGGGTGTGTCCTTCCTCAGAGCAGGGCAGTCGTGTAAGAATCTGGTCTACGACACTTGCCGGACGCAGGTAAGCATCTACTGCACTGATGGGATCCCAATGCCACAGATTGTCGATGCATATCACAGCAGCAGACCCATTGGTCACTTTCTAGTGTAAAAAAGCAGCCAGCTTTTTCAGACAGACAAAGTTTAAATCAAACTTATTCCTTTGATACAACCAACTACTGCATCTCAAATCTATTCTAGCATCCAATACTCAGACCAAAAGCGGGCCAACTAGGACGCTATTGTCAGTGAGTGGATGAAAAACTTCCTCAGGCCAGCTTTTCGAAGCCAAACTTTGTAAAATACTATGCTATTTTTACTGTTGGCCTAGGTGCCCAACGGGCATGCAACAAGCTAGTTGAGATTACACAGAAATGGCTGCTAAAAGTGTGGGTTGAGAATTGAGCTGCCAGATAGCGAGTTGTCATTAACGGAGCGATTCCAACGTTAATCTTTGGAATTTCTATACTTTTCGCAGCCCCTATCACCAAATGGATAAGCACTCCAGCATGATGTTCTGTTTGAAATCCTCCATGCTAGTCGATATGTGCGAGTTTCGTGCCTCCAAGCCACTTTATGCATCATCTCATGCAGTTCCATGCACTCACTACTAATGGTGCCCACCAATTTAAGAGCTGCCAACTACCAGTTTTATGGGAAATGCTTGCCAGTCAACAAAGATACGCTTTTTTCTTATGCCTTGAAGGGAGAAAACAAGTCAGATTTTCAAATGGTTATTCAGGGTTAATAAAAATACCCAACAGTGAATGAATATGGTATGAGTATGGTGAGCGTCCTTAGACATAGCACTTGTTAGTAAGAGGAACATGAATACCCCAAAATCAAATTAACCAGCCTTAAAACACAAAAAATAAACCACTAACTGATCGCGAACAGCGAATGACGTGGAAGTGTAAGACAAATGCCAATATTTTCAATCGAATACGTCAAAGCCATAGTGCCCACAAAGAAGGTAGGTGAAAATGATGAATGGGAAGAAGCGGACAGGAAGCTAGGAGCTTATGGATGGAGAAAAATAAGATTGAGATAAAGAATACACGGCCTCAAGCAATCTGCTATTAAAAACATCGCAATGGGCACCGCTGAAGTGACGCACTAATATGATTTAGTACCTAAAATTATGATGCTGAGGCTGTGGTTTGAACTTTAACATTAAAGGTAATTAAGCAAGAAGAAAAGCATACCGATGGCTCAAATGCATCTTGTCGTTGTTTAGACTCAATAAGTTGGTCAGCCAACAACGAGTCCGAAAAAAATGAGTAGACCTCTGGGGAGACTTCCAATTTTCTAATAAGACGGTTGGCTAAGTCACAAAACGAAACAATTGAGTCCTGACGAAGTTCACACAACCAAGGCGAAAAGAGTCCAGAACTAAACTCAGTGCCAGAGAGGGATTTTACCACGCGCAGCAATGGCTTCTGGTGGGCTGAAGGCATCCCTCACGTTACCGTACCCAAACAAAAAGACTAGAAAGAATAAAAATCGTTTATAAGCAAGGCAGTGATGGAGAATGGTCTAGACTGTAAAGCATGGAGAGAGATTACACAGTTATGTTCCATCTCGTAGTCGAGAAAGCAGTCTAAATAGTCCAGCTAAGGTCGCATGCACTAAATATCAACATTCAAATAGAGGGTGCATGCTAAACTGAAGATAAAATTCAAGTTGCAAATAAGGTGGGTGAAATAGGCAGTGTAATTGTAATCAAAGTCAATGAAACTTTGCAGCACTAAAGTAGACATTTACGACTCCTCCAGACTTCGTACAACAGTGTCATACACAGGGCGTGCATCAAATGACCTCTAGGCAATAAGCTTATGGTATCATGCTCAGCATATGCTAATAGCAAGAAATTATATCCTAAGGCAAGGATTGACAAGAGATATTCCTTGACTCTTCCAGGGTTTGGTCCCAAAGATTGTTTGCTAAATCTGTCCAAGTGTCAAGTCATGCTAAGATGTAGAAGTAATGTAACATAACATACCATAAAAAACTCCCATAAAGTAAAATTGATTTTCATCCTTAAAGAGGGTTACTGGCGATTTCTGACGCAGTTTAAATGGGCGTGATTCGGCTTGCCCTCAAATTGGGACTCTTGAGGTGAATTCACTAATAGTTAGTAGTTGTATGGAAAGCAGTGTAGATCCTGCCTGTCTACTCGCATGCTTTTGAGCCTCGAACTTTAGGAGAGGGTTGGTTGTGGAAGTTTTGTTAGGGATAGGGAGCATAGATTAGCCGGAAGCAGACATCGCTGCAGCGTCCCGAGGCTTCTCATAGGGTGGTAGAAGGCATAAGTGAAGTTGAATAAATGTATTTAGAAGACGACAGGACAAATGGTCTTGGCATGGCCCGCAGGCTAGCCCATGTGTACAATAATTAGACAGATCCTAAAGTGACCGCCAAACGTCATGCGGTCATACAAACAAAGCGTTACAATCGCCCGGAGCGAGAATCCACACGATCCTAACGCACCGAATACGCGCTCGAATCGACTTACATGCATATCATGAAAATTGGACTCGAACTGATTTTTGGAGCCCGTCTTAGTAGTCAAACAGATTAAGAGTTGAGTGTTATCATTCAAAACTGGTACCTGCAACATTCAGGGCGATTGGTGAGACCACTTTGTACAGTTAATGGTTTAATCCTAAACAAATCCCCTCATAAATAAGCATTGTGCTCCTAACGTCGTGAATGGTACAACTCCAAAGTGACAGGTGGCGTAGTAGAGACGAATAGTTTAGGCAGTGGCATTTATTTTTTTTCTGCGTTTGGATTTTGAGCTGTAAAAATTAACGAATCTTGTTCCAAAGCCGTGAAGGGGCACTGTTGGAATGAAGTTCCAGACACACCTATTGTAGCCTGAAACATTTTCAAGGGGAGTTGGATTGGTAAAAATGACTTCATTGCGGAAACCGGGAACAGGTACAGTAGAGAACAAGTTAGATGTACCGAGTTCTTCATTATTCTTGACACAAAATTACTCCTCACAAACGGTAGAATCTTCGTTATTGAAAATTCTCATTCTTATGCTGCTCCGAAGTCAAGAAGGAAATGACATGGGTACGCTACCACTCTCCATGGCCGCTGCGGGATTGAATGATTTGTATGCAGATACGAGGGCGACAGCAAGACAAAGACCCATCCGCGCAGTGCAGATTGACCGACCGTTGCTGATGTACGCATGTGCGTCAGTCAAATCGCGAGTCGCTGAATTTTTATTACCATCCCGCTCAAAATGAGTTGAGGGGCCATCTTAGAAATCATTGTGAGGAAGAAGATTCCCACCAACTTGTCCAAAAAGGAGCCCAAACGGGACTTGCAGACGATCTATGCTGTTATTCCAAAACAAGCGCAAAATCAGTTTCTTAGGGCTCCTTTCGATGGTGAGCTCACAAAACTTCTCCCATGTGCAATCAGTACGGCACTTTCGCCTTTCTAAGCCTTGCACATCCAGTCTCGGACCAAAGGCTAAAAAAGTCAATTTGAAATAGTTACCAAATCGTATGTAATGAGAAAGTTTAGGGTGCGCAAAGATTTAAGAGTTGACACGATTCGTTGCCGATACAGCAACCGAAACCGCTGCCTATTTGCACATTCGCCATAACATGCTCGTTTTTTTTTTTTTAAATCGGTGTGCGATCGGACTTGTGCAAGTTTTTACCATTTAAACCTGCTAGTAAAGTCATACAAACATTGTGACTGCAGTATTTTGATAAAACTCCACTGACTTATTACATATTTTGCAGCTTAACGTGCAATTTCAAAGACTTGACAAATCCTTGAACGAAAAGAAGCCTAAATGATTGGTGAAAAGACGGGTACAATTTGGCGAATGGAGCCGAGTTACGGCCGTTGACATGAGTGGAGGGCCGAGCTGGGACGATGCGGCTGTCCAAACCTCCAGCCAAAGTATTTGAAAGCTCAACGTTAGAGCGAATCTAAAGTTATTCCTCTACACCGCCGTAGAAGAAGTGGTGATCAGAGCAGGTCAGTGTCTTGTTTTAGCCTCATGGTTAGCGATTCGATGCATCGTAGTGTCGTGATTAACAGAACACTTTTATTTATCCCAAAATTGTTTCCTCCTCCGTACGCCATAAGGTGGATACCAGTCTTTGTTGGTATTGGGGCAGATGTTGTGGCTCATAAGCGTAAAAGTGATTTTGGTTGCAGAACCTCGAGACTTGTAGAATGCTCTTCCTACGATGAATTCCGACTACGCATCGTTTGCGGCAATTGTCTTCCGAGAGAATAAAATTGCATTATCGCACAATCCTCGTTCACCGTCAACATCCATTTTTAAAGCATTAAAAGCGCAGGTGATCGCTTGAAACCATGCTTCATGATTGGAGTCAAAGAGAACTGACAAAAATTTGGCGAAAATGTTAGTATTTGCTTCAAAGCGTTCCACTTCCCTCCACTTTGCACTCCTATTATCTTAACTATGCTTTTAAGCAGTTTCATATCAAGCTATCACCTCTTTTTTGAGTCTATCTCGGGTGCTTTCTCAATTTGATGCCTTAAAGTTGGTTTTCTCGCTCCATTCACTGCACAACCTTCATATTTTGATGAGTGGTGTGCCAGGATAGGGTCAAATCTTATAACGTTGATCAGTTGCTTGCCCAGTTCGTAGTATGCAGTTGAGGATGAAATACTCCGTGAGTTGGGCAAGGCTTTGGTAATGCTTTCGTTATGTGATCACCCGATGCCTGGCGATGGCTTTGGGATTCGTAGGCCTTTCTCTGAGCCAAGACGGCACCCTTTTATCTTCCTCGTCCCTACAGATACATGTATTTTGTCCACCATGATGCTTTTTTCTTCTTAGTGAGAAGTCTGAGGTAGATGATTTAAGAATGATGCACCCTGCCACACATTTTGAGTGCCAGAATGGACTCGACTGATTTCGTCCGTTGCCCTCTTTCTTCTGCTGAAATAGGACGAGGCTTTGCCCTTCCTTATTAAACTTTACTTATGCCATATTTCAGATCCTGAATAGGCGGTGATAATGGTGGGAATCCGCTGCAAGTTACGACCTCTCCATTTAGCAGAGGCTAAAGCACAGGTACTTGGACGTTGGGGCGCAATCCTTGCTTCTTGTAATCAAATGAAGAATGTCTCATGAGGCGGTGAGATTTAAATTCAAAATTATCGCAGCGAATCTATAAAATGCAGTCTTTTGACCCTCAAAACAGTCTTCGAGTTTTATATTTTTGCTTAGTTGTGTACCTTCGGCACTGATTTCGTTTGTTTCTCTTGTTACGCCTCCAAGTGCGATGCGTTAATTGCATGATTGACTGTCGATTTTGATAACGGGTAGCACCACCATCAAAAATCGCTTGGCTGCCTGCCCTTCCATTTTTTTTCTGTATGTGGAAAATAAACATTCCGCTTTCGTATACTGCCGCTTAGGCCAAGAGAGGTACAGTGTAAAACCTTGTTTATATGACCTTCTGATATTTGGCGGTCACTTTAAGACTTGTCCTTGTGCGAGTCGTCTGGGCCTGGGGCCATGCTCAGGCCTAATTACTTTGTTCTCCCTGGACTACACGTATTTAACTCCACTTACTGCCTTCTTCTTCCATGTGGAAAGTCTCAGGACGCTGCATTGGTGGTAGTGGAAAGCGAAACCAACATTTTTTTAACGACCTCTCTCCTTGCAAAAGGGCTGAGAATGATGTCTGCATTTGGCTTCACCCTCTTCCAGTGCTCCACAGGCAAGCTATTAACTACTGAAGCAATACCGCCGTGAACCGTCTGGAAGCGTTTCGTGTCAGAATTTCCCCCACAAAATGCGTGCATAGGTGCCGGAATTGACACTGACTAGTCCTGAAAGCAACTGATCGTTGGCAGATGTATGCTGTCCCAATTCTGGCTGCCAGATCGAATGTAATTTCATGTCCAGTTGAAGGCGCTGAGGCGACCAAGTACCGTTCCTCTAGTCTCATGGTAGCTGCTGGCTGGAGCGGCTGACTCGTGGGTGCTTTGTTGTGATGGCTGGCGCGAGAATTGTCCAATGGGGAGCGTCGAGGATGTCGCTCAAATGAAGAGGGGGCAGTGCAACACTGTTTACGTGGCCGCCTGATATCTGGTGGTCACTGTAAGATTTGTCTGGTTCTTGTACGAGTGGGCCGCCCAGGCCCAACTTACTGCCTTCTTCTACCCGGTGGGAAGTCTCAGGGCGCCACAACCACCATCAAACTTTGCTTGACTGACTGCCCTTACATATTTTTTTTTCGCCAGGTAGAAAATAAACATTTCGCTTTCGTATATTGTCTTCATTCACCTTTATCGAAGCCAAATTTCGCCAAGCATCAACAATTCAGTCTTCGCAACGAAGAAAAAGCGGTTAATAGCATGAGATTAACAATCACTTTGAAAGTTTTTGCTTCTCGCTCCCCTCAGTAGCAACTGCCATAGTAATCGTGCAGCACCATCATCAAGTCAAAGTCACAATTAAAATCGGCGGAAAATGATTGAATCGACTTTCTTTCATCGAATCGGATTGGGCTACACTTGTTTTTGGTTGTCGAAATTTTACGCATTACTAATAAAAGATTGTAAAATCGGCTTACTATTATTACTTACTTATTATTACTATTATTAACTTATGTTAACAATACTGATGTATCAACAGCCGCAGCACATGGCTTTGGTCGGTAACTCCTGTCACCGCACTTTGGGATCCCATCCAAAGGCGCTTCGACTGTGTTTGTGGTGGAGGCTTTCTGGTATAGGTTTCGGTTTGGCATTTTCGGCAGCGGTGTGAGCTCACGAAACACGCTGCCGAGTTGGGGAGACGCTTGACCAGTCCCAAGTAAGGTGCTCTCTCCACTCCTACACGCACCTTTAACAGTCATCATCGAAATGCCTTAGGAGCAAAGAGTAAAGGGCATTTTCATTTCAGAACTTTTGGGAACCACCATTAAATAGAGCAAAATGCATTTTGATTCTGCTGTATTTAACTGCAGTAAAAGAGTGATTTGCGAGTACAAAATGTTATTGCGAACCATCTAGAAAGTAATTTCGAATGTTTGTGGTAATCAACGGTGATTTTCGTCACAGCTCTGACATAATGCTGTGCTACCTGCAGCAGTTGACGCAGGCGAAATGGAACGCCATCTGGCGGCCATCACTCCAACGACTCATCGCCGTGCCTCCCGGCCGCTGAAGAGGGCGTGGGTTACTCTTCGTGCTAAGCTCTTCCCTTGGTTTCGCCACCTATAGAATTAAGAAGCCTGTCAGAGGGACTGCAGTCAGCATCGTGCCAGTTTGTCCTTAAGATCATCTTAAGCAGTCGAAAAGCTTTAATTTTTGACTTGTCTCCTGCTTTGTAGGATAAATTTGCCCACCTATTTTGGCTACTGAGAAGGAAAATCCTCACAGATCGCAGACCAAAGCGTCTTGCATTTGCTTCTCACATTTCGAAACATGGTGAGGATTTGATTAAAGTTCTCTTGGCTTTAAAGAAATGCAGTTTACTGAATAGTGTAGGTTTTAAAGTATTTCGGAAACTATGGCAGAACTTCATTCACAGTTCGCAAGGCCTCGTGCCTAGGTTAGAAAGCTCTCTGCTACCGCATTTCGTTCTACGGCAGAAGTGGCTTTGGATTCAAAAGACGACTTTTGCTTAAGTAACTATCAAAGGATTGCTTCAACCTATTGCGTGTACACCTCATTTCGGCTGGACAAATCCATGTGTAAGTCTTTACAACAGATTTTACGAGCAAATACAGTTTAAAGCCTGCTTCTACAGCACTTGATCAGACAGAAATGGAGCCCTTCCGATATAAGCTCACGTTCGTACAGAATTTTCTGTGCTTCTCTTTTTTGAATAAGGCCTGCAAAGGATAGTGAGGTGGGGATGATAATTTGGATAACAGAGCTCGACGTCTCCTGCATCGCCAGTTGAATGTCACACACGTTGCTTGCAGTGAGATCCATGCGCATGCTCAAGCTCCCAAAGGATCTGCTACCTCCCGCCTCACCAGGAGATATAAAAGCTATGCATCGCGGCTAGCTAATGGCCACAGGGTGGTGGACGGGGCTTCCAACCCCGGTAAATCCGCATGAGTGTAGTAATTTTCCGAGTAAATTAGACGTTAACTGTGAGATGCGAATAGTGGTGATCGTGTGTTTTTCTCTTTTGAATAAGGGTTGGTGATAATTTGTAATCATCTTTGAAATCTTCTTTTTATACCGTGAAGAAAGTGCTCACAAGTTTTGTTCTCACTTTTCCGTTGCAAATGGTGATCAAAACCTCCTCGATTTCTATGAAGCACGGAGCCCACTGCGGTCTCCCGAGGTCAATTCATGCTGATGCAAAAACATTTATTCAGAGGATTGATGAGGGCATCAGGTAGAGCAGCAACTCATTACTTGCATTTCATAGTAATGCTGGAGATTTTTGGTGCCGGTTTACATAGATCCGTTGTGTTGCGACGCTCACAAGGAAATGTTGGCAGGGCAGAATGACTTGTTGCTAATGCGTGAACCACCGTGCAACCTTGAGAGGAATGAAGTAGTGTTAAAATCAAACCAATTAATCCGATGACAGCTCAAGAAGTCGAGAGACAAAGGCAAACATATAAAGTGGCTTGGGGTTGATATAAGCTGGTAATAATTTGTGTTGCATATATTACGAATCTCCTCGACAAATCCAAGCGTTTCTGTTTAGATTCGGAAAGTCTATGTGAGGAACCTTTTCTCCCCCTATTGTTTGGTAGCGGAGGATCCATGAAAACAATAATTTAAGTATACAGGATTTATTGAAGGCAACAAACGCATATAGATATCACTTACCCAAATTAAGGTCCCTCATCTTAAAGGTCTAATGCGTTCTCTTTGCTTTCGATGACAGCAGAGTTCATCCTGCTTTGTCTCCAGTGAATTGGTTTAGATTTCATTCCCCTAAGGAAATGTATATCATGTTTAAAAATGACATCACAGCATTTTATTTATCGTACCCTTATGGACGTCTTTTATCAGGCCTGATAACTGGGACTTTCAAATTGTTTTTGTGGTCAAACGTCTCCTTGTCTCTCAATGAAGCGGATTCATGGCAAAAAATGCCAATAATCGCGGGTAAGACCGACGCTTAAGCAGGTACATCACCACAAAATCAGAGCTCGATCATTTTAATACCTATGGCAATTTCCTACACAGTAGGCTTTCTAAAAACCCGAACCCAAGCAAACAGCACGCATTTTTAAATAAGCATGACGGTTGAGACTATTCAGGACCAATCACAGTTTTCTACTAATTTTATATAAGTAGCTCATCACTAAGAATATCACCCGAATTGAGTGAAATCAGCTTCATAACTTAAAATATTGCACAAGCCAAAATGGTGTCAAAGAAACAATACGTATATGAAATTGACTTGCACACTTTTTGGTTGGAATTTCTGGTCATTCTGTGTCGACTATTTTTAAACGAATTCATTGGGCATAGCAGAGCCAAAGTATTGATATATTAATAATGCAACACGGCATTTAAAACTTTTACACCAATGGTTTGAGACCTCAAAGGTTTTTAACGCGTGAAGATTGTCATCTACAGAGAGAGTCTCTCTATTGATCAAATCAATGTCTTACTTCAGCCTACTCCAAAATTTCTGACTAGCGTCAAACGGGTGTAACGGTGGACGCCAGTTCAAATGGCTACGTGATCCAAAAATTGTTTCTTAAAGTTATAATAATGAGTATTCAGAAGTTTAATGGGGACTATATAACTCCGCTAACAAATCCGCCTGCGAATCTAATTCCCATAAGAGCAATCAAAAGTGGTGCTTGTCTTTACTATCTCCTTCGTGGACACTGACCTCGGTCCTCTTAAAAAATCAAACGACAACGCGCTATACTTAGGCTGAAAACAAGGAACGGGAGGAGAACAGGAGAGCGAAAGCCGGATATAATTAATTCATGTCAAGAGAGGCGGCTTTTTGAATGCGCTTTAAAAAAATGGCTCTACAAGTTGAATCACCGTGTGCTCAGGTGGTCCAAACCCATTTTGGAGAGCTGCTTTATCAAATGGAGGAAGTATTGGAACGAATTCCCCCAATGCTAGTCGTCATCAAGACAAATTGGGGTTAAAAGGTCTGTTAACAAAAGGGGCCCTTTACCTTTTTGAACGGTATGTTAGTCTTTTTGCGACTAGAGTTGTCGCCTTGCAAATGAATGCTAACATTTATTGTCACCTACATCATTGCTCAAGTTTGAAATTAGAATAATCTCCCACTCCTACCTCCTTGCATATTGCTTTGCTTGTAAGCAACACCAAGTCAAACTGCACAAATCGTGCAGTTCGGAACTTTATCAGTGTTGCCTGTACTTAAATTTGGCTTCTATGTGGCCAAGCGTATAATCTTACGACTCCTCGGAAGTCAAAGGCTGTGGACATCAAACTGCTTGACAGGGCCTTAGCTATGCTGAAATCGAAATGTTACACGTGTCCCCACCTTTGCGACGACGTTCCACATCAGCCATCACGACCTAATCGGTGGTTTGAGAACACAGGGACCTACGAAACAGTCGAACGTGCCAGTCAGTGAGTGTGCGCAACTGAAAGGATAGTTGGCTGTAGCCTCACTGATCTCACCTGTCAGCTGTGCTAAATCAGAAGTCGCGTCTCCATGGCGGCAGAAGGGAAAGTGGCAGCCATCACGCCTGCCCACAAAAATTAATAGGAGCGGTGGTTGTGGTTCAAACGCACAGTCATGCAATAAAACATTGCAGTAAACGTTTTGTAAAGATTGTGTTTTGTGTTTGCCGTTTAACCACACCTCTCTATTTGAGTTTTCATCCAGCCACTATAAAGATGAAGAGGCATGACTTGCTTACAAAATGATAGCATAAAATAGGTTCTTGAGATGGCTACGTGGTTAACTCCACGAGGTGGCGTACAGCCGTTGATGCTTCAGTTGGTGATAGCACTCATGGAATCAAGGGACCACAGCGGTTATCGGAGGAGTATTTTTATTTTTATTCTTTCATTGAAGCTAGTTATTGGAATGTTCAGCCATTTTTACTCAAACGTTCATTGGGGCCAGGAGTCAGAAAGGATTACTACTTTGAGTTTCTTAGATCGAACGACTGCACTAAAATTTACGAACTTCCATTCGATAGCGATCCTTGCTTTTTATAGGGAGAAGAAAGTGTATTTGCGCGAGTTCCTCTCGTCAGTGACAGTGTCGTCTGCCTGTCACAGGCTCCGGTGCGTTGTTCCACTGAGTGCGGCTGCTGCAAATGGAAGAGATCGCAGTGACTCTTGCGCCCTCGCATTGTGGGTGGCTGCAGGAGACACATTGGACAGTAAGTTGCAAGCAGTCGATAAGACGGCAACACCCATTCATTGAAGCTCGTGGATGGCAAAATTTTTGGGACAAATGCGTTACACTGTCATCTAAGGCATTTACTTTAACATTTTCCAGCCATGGTAGAAATTTTATTTCTGATTTTTGGTCAAATAAGTGGGTGAAATCGAGCAAAAACTCTGATGCACAAGTAAATTTTGAGGCTCTTCTACAGGAGTTTATAGTTTTCTGGCTTTAACTAAGTTGAAGAAATGCCAATCTTCTTGACTCTGGTTTTTCTTGCTCTACTGTGCTCTACTAAAACCACCCATTCAATCTTAAAGGCGTCTTGAGGGAGTCACAGCTACTAACACTACTAGTTCCGGGCGGGCGAGGTCGTGCTGCTGCTGCTGCTGCTGCTGGGAGACGAGCTTATCCCACTCATTTGCCAAATTAGTGCTACTCCTTGCTCTCCTCAGACCGTTTGCGACCCCTTCAAGACGGGTGTCTGGCTGTAGTAGAGGGATGTGCAAAAGACTTCCAAGTAACCCACAATGGATAGAGTAATCTAAAAAAACAAGATTGATATCCAAACTTTGTTACCCTTTCCAGTATTTGTCTTAATTGAAGGTCGACTTGTTCCTTTTAGATAGACTGCAATCCTGTGAGGGTGCAGTTTGGCGTTGACTCCACATTATTCTAAGTCGTGGGTTCTGTGATGGGTCAAGGAAGATGCTAGAAGCGGCTAAATTAACTGCAGTCCAATGAAGCAAAGGCCACAAATGAGGGCACTTTTTCTCTTGACTGCAAATAAGTTGATAGTAAAGTGTCATTCCGATGCGGTGAAAGTGGCGGCCGGACATTTGACGGCTATGCGCCCTTCCCAGGTGAACTCATTATGCTGGAACACGTTGATTGCTCGTTTACCTCATGGTTTTGGTAATGAGCCACCTTGAGGCTCGGTAATTGTACCCCTTCCGACTGCGACGGTACTCATTTTGTCCACAATTTGTGCTCCACTCTATCTTTAAGCATGTTTCGAGACAATCAAATGGAAAGTGTCGAATAGAAAAGTTGGGAATTCCCTTAAAGAAGATTTCATGCTGTTTGGTTTGGTAAGGCGTTAACAAAATTTAGCGCGAGGACAATTCCACATTTTTTTATTTACAAATACGAGGGCGGCCACTTCAAAAGCGGTTCTGAAGGTTGTCCAAAATGACGGTCTGCGTGGAAGAGGAAGCGGAAGCAGAGGGTTCGAGTAGCGCTACATGGCCGCACGTTGTCTTCAAAGGCTTCTGTGAGATCCGGCGGTTGTAGAATATTGTTGGTGGCATCTTTGGTGTTTGAAGTGAATGAGATGTCATCTCAAACATTGAAGTTGGCACTGTCAACCACATTTCCGGTGGATCTAGATGTTAATAGAGCAGTGACTACTCATGCGTCAGCCTCCATCTCACCCTACATCATTTATGCTCTGCTAGTCTATTCATCCTCTTCTGTGCCAAATTCCGCCTTTAGGGATAGATGTGGAACCATATTTAGCAGTTAAGAGAGACCAACTTATGGATGCTGTGCAGAAAGTTGCGTGAAAGGCACTAGACCCTGAATTCACTCGTCGTAGCTTTAAGGCAAAAGTTCGATCAAAAGTTGCCAAAGTCTCACTAACAATTTTTTCGGTGCTAAAAATGTGATTCACCAACTTCATCTTTATTAGCAGCTGTATTCGCTAGCATTTTTATGCGAGGTCAATAAGAGAAACTTTGAGACCTGCTTTTCAGGAGGAATAAAAAGTGGCAAGTAAAATGACAACATTATCAACTCGTATGTCGACTGCCATTAATCAAAAGGATGGGCAAGAATGATAGAAGGTCATACATGGACAGGATATAGAATAAAAGTAAAGTGAACAAAGGAAACCAGCATGGCGTTTTGAAGACAGTCAGTCTCATTGCATTTAGTGGAAATCCCAGCTGCTGTCTTTCAAGCTGAATCTCCGATTACTACCAAATCTTATTCCTTTGAGGACAACAGTGGCCGTTTACCGGTTCGAGTTGTCAAAGTAGAGCACTCCCTTCCGTCAATACAGAGAGAAGCAAATCATTGCGTGAGTAAAAAGGCCGGTCATCCCTAAGCCTCATCGAATCGTGTCCGATACAAACAATCGTTCAAAGACGATCCATGTCATTAAATCTTGTCCCTTTGCTTAAGTTCTGTGCAACTACACGCCCCTCTAATTGTTCGTTCTAAGTCTTTCCCAAATGCACGAGGAGCAAAATAGTCTTGATGTCCAAGAGCGCTAGTTGTCTGATGCAAAAGTGACAGAGTCAGCTGCAGATGAAGATCGCATACCCTCACTTATGCTATAGGTGGACAGAGTGTTGTCCTCACTAATAAATAAATTACAGGCAAAGGTTTTATTCCTATCCCCAGATTTATTCAGAACGGGGCATGGACCCGACAGCCGCTGTCCATCTTCCCTCACTCTCCGCTGTCTGCTGGTAATGCACCGCCTTTGGGGTGGGCTTCCTCTCCTTTACTCACAGCTTCAAATGTCACGTGACAAAGCTGGTCATGCCGGGGAGAGGCCTTCATAGTCCTTGAATGGCAGGAGTATTGTCGACACCATTCGACCATCAAATTGTCAGGCTTGTTGGTTCCCTTGCCACTTCCAATAACAAACCCCGAGGTGGGCGTGCATTCAACTGACCCACTGCCTGGATTGCACCAGCAAACCAGTTAGGTCCATCAATGTCGCATCCAGGGAAGAACAGTTTTATCATGATTAGCTTTTAACATGTAAATAAAAACGCCAACTTACTGGTTTGAATAGGTTTTCCCCGTTTACTATGAAGAAAGACGTACAGACAATAAAATTGTTATGAGACAAGTTTCACAGTTACCATCATTGCGCAGGTCTGGCTACGGATTTTTAAATTAGGCTCTAATGGAGCTGAAAGAATTATTCCTCTGGTCGACAGTTCAAGTGCGAAATCGGCAGACATTTTAAAACCAGGGGAAAAGGACTCTTCAAGCAATCTATCAGACTTTTGTTTTCACTTTCGAGTTCACTTTTGGTGGGAATTCAGTCACAGAGATAAGGAAGCATTTTTTGATGGAACTGTGATTCTGTCACAAGCCAAATCATTTGACAGGACAAAAATGTCGTTTTCGAGAACTCGTCGTTACTCTCAAGCTTTTAGGCTTTGAAGTGTAACCCCTTATTCTACTTGACAAAATCTTTATTTATCTGATACAATCACAACAATTTTGGTGGAGTTTCCTGGAATGGCCTCATCAAATTTATTGTTTAGATTAATGTCAAGTGAATGCTTTTGCTATGTCTCCGTTCGTCGTTTAAATAACTGAGGTGTCTTTTACTGCTTTCTATCACCGGCATCATCAAGCACGAAAATATAGCGTCACTTACTTGTTTCCAGAGTGAAACTAAAGAACGACATCAATTGGAGAGTGAAGCGTGGAAAGAGGGTATAACAGAAGACGCGACAACCACGTACCGCCTTCTCCGAGTTGGATAAGTTTCGGTGGCATCGACTGAGACGCTGCAAGGTTGCAGTGGTCGTAGGCCTCCTCAGGAAGCGGATTGGCGTTGTTCTCATGGCCGCTGGCTGCGGATGTGGCGACATCGATAGGCGCACCAACATCCAACGGTAGACGGTGCAATCCGAGCAGCTGTGCCCTCCGATCACGAAAATTCTTGCGATGCATTTTAACCACCAATATGAGAGTTAGCCACAAACTCACTGTGCTTGACAGGATTCCGATTAAATGATCTATAAAACGGAGGTTGGAGAGAAACCTTTCAAAACCCTTGGTTATGTAACTTTAAAATTTTCCACTTCCTCGGCATAAATGCACAAATCCTAACTGAGGGCAACTGGTTTGACGTACTTCTTACGTTGAGAGCTCCTTTCAACGCTGACAACTGGTTGTTGAGATGAAGGGCAACTCACTTTACTACCGTCATAATCATAGCCTAATCGACTTCGAGCATTCTTTTGAACAACATTTTGAGAATGGTTGAGGGTTCATTTGATGGCTCCACGCGTCAATGGCTCTGCAGTCGAGACTAGAAACACGGCAATCTTCCGCACAATGGTAAATGGTTGCCCAACCCTTGATTCAATCCTCGCATTCTATTTAGCCTTAATTGAACATGCTTAATTGCCCATGTATACCAACCACAAATCCATTGTTTTCTACTTTCAAATCAACAATGCAAGTACCAAGTAGCGTCTTTCCATTATTGACGTACAGTAAAGTAGGTTGAAACAACTCTTCTTACCGAACCGATGGAATGGACGCAAATAGGGAGTGTAGCAAAAAGTTGACTGCTCTTGTTCCCTCACCGAAATGGTCGCGGTCACGTATCTGAAGTAAGAAAATAGGGCACAATTTTCCGCATTACCGAAATCACTTTTGTCTCTTATCGCACAGTTGTATGAGCTCTCTCATGCTGCTAAAACGCTCCTCTTGTCGTGGTATTAATTTCTATGTCGTGTCTCACAACAAGGTTCCTCATACTCGTAGCAAGCCGACGAGTCACCTTACTAATCCTACAACTTCAATTTTGGAAGTTCACGGGGATTATTTGGTCTTTTCAGTGATGTTTCAACATAGAGAGGCGTAAAAAGTGCTAAAGCAGTTACAGCCTTGTCGTGCATATTCATTTCCCATCAATTGAGAAGATAAGCTGCTTTAATCCAAAGCCTTAATGCTGCACGCTATTTCAGTAAGAAGAATGTGCATCCATCCACTTGACTTTTGATGTGCTGGAAGTGAATGACTCCAAGAGGCGAGCCACAGTTCACATTGCTAAGAGACTTCCTTTAAAGCATTTTCTCCGCATTCATTGTTTGTAGAGTTTAGGTGATTATGAACCTACTAACTTTTATTCTTCACTTTTTCGCTCTGCGGAAGCTTAAATGTAATTTAGTTTGGCCTTCACTGCTGCCAAACGCAGCTAATATTCACAAAGTTCGAGTCATTTGACTAAAAAATTGCTTTGTAGAAAAGGTCCTTTGAGATTCTGCTTTATGGATCAAAGCTAAAATGAAACCTCTGTAACAAAAATCCTCCCTAGACAGCATTTCTCATTCTCCGTTTTTCATCATAAAGCATTTGAAAGGCGATCCACGCATATCCATCTTTTAAGTCTTATGCTTCCAGAATTATTAGAGAGAGCGTTTAAAGGTTCTTAAAAACCACATATTGCTCGGGTTCCCATTCAAAAGTCCATACAATTGCATAAAAGTGTCTTTTTAAAACCTTATAACCCGTTTTTCCACGAGCAACTCAAAATCAAATTGCAAAACGATTTTGTTTTAGGGTTTCCCAACATGCTGTTCAAGAGGTAACGAAAGCATTTCCTACTACTGGGTGGCGGCTTGCAAGTTCAATCGCCTAAAGTGCTCATTTTTGACTCAATACTCGAAGTTGAAGCACAATTCGGCTAGAAAACATTTCTAACTCATAAATTACAATTTTTGAAACATTTGGTCAAGAAACTTAGGTTACTGGAAAACCATCTGATGTTGAAAGGTTTGATCCTCATTGGTGTGGTAGCGGCACTGCCATCCTTACGTCTCTGTCCCTAACTCAAACCCAAGGAGGGAAAGGCACCTGGTTGAAATTCTCCTTAGTGATGATTTACTGCAATGCAATAAAGTGGAGTTGGTGGTGGGTTGCTCTGGTTGTACTTTTGCAGGACAAAGATTTGTAACGATAGGCACTTAGGTGGTCACCCTATCCCCATCGAATGTACCTCTTTATTGCGTACTAGTTCCTAGTCATAATCTTGATTTCATTGCTGAGTTACTTCCACTGTGGTGGTTCTAGCAGTTTTATCACCACCAATACTATCACAAACCTAGCCACCAAGTACGGTGAGTTGTGTCGTGCCGATTGCGAGAGCGAGAAGTGGGCACGAGTCTCGCGGTTCTCCGCTGTGAGCGTGTGCAGTCGAGCGTTAAGGCGGTCGATGAGCGCGACCACGGCGGAGGCGCGTTCACCCAGCAATGCGGTGCGCGCTCGGTAGACGCCCTGCACTCGCCGGCACACCGTTGCGTTCCCTGCTGCCATCAACTCGCTTGCTGACAGCGGCTGAAACACCTCGCGACTCGACAGTAGAGGCGCTGCCGGCGAGTTGGAGTTGCGCTCGCTTCCCCTTGGATCCAGATTCAAACCGCGGGGAGAATATATTTCTAAAAGCTGGATGGGTATGCAAAATGGATTTTCAGCATGTG